TCCCCTAAAGTCGATGTCCTAGACTCCACTCTCTTATCCTCTTGCGTCTAACTCATTTTCTCTAGAATGCCATCTTAAACAGGCCTTCCATCTCAGTGAGACTTCTACACACCATCCTTCACATACTCATTCATGTTGTCACTTATCTCCACATCCAGCTTAAACACTGATTTTTAACTTCACTTCACACATCCCTCAACTCCTCTGTCCTCCTGCTTCATAGTCACATTTGGGAAACCCTTAAATCTAGTCAAATCTAACCACGTACCCACTCTGCACTTGACAGCAGTCCTGAACATAACTGGGTGGAGGGAGGTTGCACAGCTGTGTTTACTGACCTATTATTAAATTCAAAATTAATAACCCTTTTTTTTCCAGTACCAGGGATCAAACTCAGGACCTTGTACTTGTGAGGCAGATGCAGCACCACTGAGTTGAATCCTTGGCCCCCAAAATTAATAACCTTAAGAGTGCTTTTAATGCTATCAGGCTCTCTTAAACAAGTATTTTAAATCTTCTCCTTAAATCCCTAAAACTATCCCACCATTCTCACTTCTTTCATAAAGAAAATGCTTCAATAAGCAAACTTCCACACTTCCTCCACATGTGCTCATATACCTTCACACTTATGGAAATAAGCTGAACTCTCCTCCAGCCTCCCTTCCAGCACCTGTCCACACCCTGCTAAGGCCAGTCTCATCGGATAGGTCCCATTCTTTTCCATCCAATCAAGTACATGACAGTATGACATCCCTCCTACATTATCAACTTTTTTCAGTAAACATTCTAATAAATGATTTTCCATTTTTAAAAAATCAAAACCTTTTTCTTGAATCTACTTTCTCTTCCAGCCATTTTCCCACTTCATTCCTTTTCTCTAGCTCAAAAGAACCTTCAAAAAATTGTCTACACTTGTGATCTCCAATTTCTCTCCACTCATGCTTTTGAATCCACTCCATTCAGGTGTGCTGTTACCATTTCACAGAAAGTGTCAGTGTCCAGTTCACCCATAATCACAAAGCAAATACAGTAGTAATTTCTCACCCACCACAACCTGACAAATCAAAAGCACTGATGTATTTGAGTTTCCTTCTTGAAACACCTTCTTCACTTGGTTTCCCAACAGAACACTTGTTCTCACATCCCTTTACCATCAGAGTCATTTACTGTTTCCTACCATCTCTCCAACCTCTTGAAATTCAAGTGCCCCTCACCTCAGTCTTTGACCTCTTTACTTTGTGATTTACCTTCAGTTCTTTGGTGATCTCATCCAGTTTCATGTCTATAAATGCCACCTAAAAAGTGACCATTTTCAACTCTAACTCCAGCAAGGTCATTCTCTTGTATTTCTTTTTTTAATAGTTCTTTTAATTTTATGGAAAAGTAATACAAACTTTCATTAACAAAATAATAAGAGAACAATAATAGTTAATACACCATGTATCATTTTCAAAGTAGTTACTCAGAGTATAAGATAGACAAAAAAGATTCTCTCTTACAAAGAAGAAACAGTAGCAGAACATTTTCTTTTCAACTAAGAGAAATTAATAGTATGAACGAAACAAATATTATATACTTAAAAGCTTTTGAAACGATGGATATTTAATTTGGGGAATTATTTAAATCTCTCCCTATTTCTTATTTATCTATTTTCTATTTAGCTCTTAATTTGTGTATTTTGAATTTTTCACATAAAAGAAACTGCAATATTTAATCTTGTATGTTTTATTTTACTTCACATTATGTTCTCAAGTTAGATACATTTACCTACAAATACCTCAATTATCTTTCTTTATGCCAGAGTAGTACTTCATTGTGTATAAGTACCACATTTTCCTTATCCATTCATCTGTTAATGGACATACACAGTTACATGATCTAGATCATAAATGTAGGTTAAGACCTAGTTATCATAAATTGTGCTCTATAAACATGGGTATGCACGTATCCCTGTAATATTCTGATTTTAACTCTTTTGGGAAGATATTTAAAAGGGGGACAGCTAGGTCAAAAGGATTTCTATTTTCCGTTTTTTTTAGTAATCTCCAAACTGATTGCTGCAGTGTATTAGTTTACATTCCAATCAATGATGGAGAAGAATTCCTTTTTCCCCAGATTCTTCCTAGCATTTGTTATTACTAGGTTTTTCTGAAGATAGCCCATTCTTTTGGGGGTAAGATGGTACCTCGATGTAGTTTTAATTTGGATTTTTCCAATAGTCAGTGGTGTAGAACATTTTTTCCTGTATTTACTTGTACTTCTGAAAAGTGTCTATTCACTTAGGTTGCCCATTTTTTGACTGGCTCTTTTATTTGGGAGAGTCTAATATTTTTGAGTTCTTTATATATTCTAGATGTCCTCTGTCCAAGGAATAGCTGGAAAAATTTTTCCCATTTTGTAGGTTGCCTCTTCACTCTGTGGTTTCTTTTGCTGTACAGAAACTTTTTAATTTGATATGATCCTATTTGTTGACAGTTAATATTATTTCTTGTGCCATTGGAGTTCTGTTCAAAAAGCCTGTATCTTCAAGAGTTGTACCTATTTTATCTCCCAGCATGTTTTAACATGTAGATCTCTGATCTATTTTGATGTTAGTTGTATATCTCACCATGTACTAAACTAAAATTTCCTTTGAATTTTAGACAAATAAATGCATGGTTACTAACACATCCATCTGGATGTCAAAATGGAATCTCTTACTCAAAATCCAGAAAAAATTACTATGTCTAAGGTAAAGACAATGCTATTTTTATACTTGCTCACACTCAAAACTTTGGAGTCATTCTTGATTCCTTTATCTTGTATCCACATTCATCAGTCAGCAGCTCCCACTGAATCTTCCTTCAAATGTACCCTGAATCTAATCACTTTTCATCATATCCACTGCCGCCCCTTTCACTCAAGTAACTATCTTTCCTCTACATTCTGGCTATATCTTAGATTATGGCAATAGCTTCCTGTTTTTGTCCTTGTTTTCTTACACTTGGTAATATAGCTGAAATGTGAGATCGCTGTCTTTCTAGCTCAAAACCCCGTAACAGAATAATATGTCACTCACAGCAAAAGCCTACAGCAAGATGATATATGATCTGGTTCCCATAACTTATCTGGTTGCATGTCTTACCGTAATCTCTTCCTTTGTTCACTCTAAGTTCCCTATGATACCAGCATTTTGCTGCTTTTGGAATGTTTCAGGCATTCTCCTGCCTCAAGGCCTTTGCAAGTACTATTCCCTTTACCTGGACTCTACCTTTCAATACCTGTTCCTTCACTCCACTCAGGTTTTTTTTTTTTTTTTCAAATATACTCCTTTCCTCTACTCTTTCTTCTTAATCTTTCCTAGTATCACTTGTCATAACTAGATAAGCTACAAATATTAAGTATTTACTTCGCTTATTGGCCATCTCAAAGAATATAAGCTCCAAGAGAGGTTTATTTCTCTTTCTTACTGCTGGAAATGCTCAGGCACAGAGTAGAATCTCAACACATGTTGAGAGAGACCATGAGTGCTCTCTTGCGCAGAGAGTACATCAACAGGAATGAGCTAAGATTCTCCTTCATCTCAGGATGCCCCATTCACTGGCCCATCCAGAATGCCAGAAATTTCTGTGCACCTTTGGTTTGTCTTCTCTTTAACCTCAAGTTGCTGCCAAGGTTTAAAATACCACCACAAAGATGGGGTTGAGGGGTGGGAGATAAATGGGGATACAGAGTTATCAAGGCAAGTGCAAGTTGGTAAAAATAATCTAAATGTCTGAAGCTATTTTACTAAGAGAAGAATCTCTGTTTCTTATGTTAAATATACAACTCCTGCAGTAAATCAGATAGGAATGAAGTACTATCAGTCTTACGGGCCTATGGGCTAGCACATCAGTCAGTTTAAAGGGCAGGACTGTGGTCAACATGGGGAGAACATGGGAAGGGATTCTGATGGCCACCAACAAAATGAATGACTTGAGGTTATTACTGAAATACAATATTTCTGTAAGGGTCCTTTAAGATTTGTTTGCTTAAAGACAATTTACTGATTCTTATGAGTCTACTGGCAGATCTTAATTACAATCTTCCTCCCAAATCATGACTGGGGACCAATGGTGGGATGAATGAGCAGGGTGAAGGTATAGCAGCTTCTGTGGGACAAAACTGCAATACTGAATTATGTACATGAACAGAATCACAATGTAATTGTCTTGAGAGTGATAAAAATGAAATAACAAGGTCAGAATTCAGAGCTTGAAAATATCTCCTTAAAATCTGGGAAAGGTTATTCCCTTTTCAACAATGTTTAACAAGAAAACATCTCATTTGGACCTTTTTTTTGTTGTTGTTCTGTTAGGAATAGTAATGCTAAGCTTAATTTACAAAGAACAAAATGGAAAATCAAGATATTCTAAAACTACTTGGAATCACAGGAAGTAGCAATACAATTAGTAATAAAACAGAAGTAGGTATTCTTAATCCATCCCAAAGAATAAAACCACTATATACCTCCAATTACTCTATTACCTTTACAGGAGGAATACACTGATAATGGTAACACTCCAGAAAGTGATTCAAGAAAACAGACACTGTTAAAAAAGAAAGGCCAAGAACAGTATACATTTCTTATATGCTAATCTTTTAAAATTATTATTCTTTTCATTAAGTTTATTGGTACATTTTATGTATATTATACAGTCACATTCATCATTGGGATCTTGTACCTTTACATGATGTATCTTGGTTCTTATTTTTTCCCCATTCCCCTGCCCTCCCTTCACCCCCTCCTCCCTTCCCCCCCTTCCCTATTTACAAAGGCTTTGTTTCCATTTTTTTTCTTTTCTCGAATTGTTTTCTTTTCCCTTCTTATCTTTCCCCTACCCCTCCCACTTTCCCTAGTAAGCAGTAAAAACACAAGAAAACTTTATCTATCAATGCTTGTGATCAATTAGTGAATTACTGGAGTTCTAGGCTACTTCTACAAGGTCAAGGGTTTTTATTTTAAAGCTCCTCACACTTACCTCGATTTTCCTCTCCATTGGCATTTGCCTCAGCCATTTCTGTGCCATCCAGCTCAGATTCACAGACTAAATCCAAAGTTCCATCTGCTGGGCACGACTCCTCTTTCTATATTATTTTTTAAAATGATGATTTATGGAGATGTATTAGCAACTGAAAACATTTAAAATACTTTGAGAACCCTAAAACATTATTGCAGCTGAATGTGATTTGGAATTCGAAAACAGATTTACTTTTTAGTGTAAAAGTCACTCCTTGGGATGAAAATAAAATCTGGTGAAAGCTCTTTTCATGGTTGGTATTTTGGGCCAACATTTCAAAATCTATACCAAAATTTAAAACAAAAATCTTTTCTTTTGATATATACTACTTCCATTTTTTCAATTTTACAATCCTCCTGATGTAAACAAATAGATTAAAAATTCAGAATTTTGATTAGTAAATTAAATACTAAATAGGTACAAAAAGTAACTAAAAAAGTCATTATTTTGACAAGCCTGTTATTTTCTGAAAATCACACAGTGACAAGAATCCAATGTCCCCCCCCCCCCAAAAAAAAAAAGAATCCAATGTCCCATACCTAAGGAAAAATCCCTGCTTTTTTTTGGCAGGTATAACTTGGAGTTTTTAAAGAAAAAAACCTCAGAAGAAATCAATGAATTTTAAATATAACCCATCATATATTAAAGAAGTGATTCCTTTTTAATTCATAAGAATTAATATATCATATTTACTTGTTATAAATTACACAATCATTTGTAAATCATAAGAATTTAGTCCTCTGGAATTTTACATTTTAGATAGCATATCCCATTCTAGATGGAAATGGTAATTACACTAAAATGATTAAGACTCAGTTATCTGAAACTTTCTATTTTATTTTTGTATTTTGCCCAAATAACAAGTATGAATTATTAGTAAGACTTCTTTGAGATCACCATTTATTGTCAAATTGGATACCTGATTTATATCAGAAAGTTTCTGAGCATAAGGAATAAATAACTTATTTTTACAAAAAACAGAAAGGCATACAGGTGTGAAGCCTGTATATCAACCGATGGTCATTAAATCAAAGAGTTTATGGCAACTGTGATCATCTTAAAGTCCTGCCTGATGACCCATGACACTCTTCCACATAAATTTTAAAGAATCAACAATTTTAAGGAAACCACTATTTTCCATTACCACGTGTTATGCAGGAAACCACAGATATATTTTCCTTAAAGAAATATGTCGTTGTTTATTCTTAATATGAAATAACTTTATTACGTATGAAAATATTTAAAACATCTAAATTATTCTCTTACTCTTCATTCAAATCTAATTTTGTTTACCTTCATTAGGTTTGAAAAAATGCATGATGCACAGTAGTAATACACAAAATCAAACACAATCCAACTTACTTTGAGAGCATAGAGGCCTGACTTTCCAGGGATTTTGAAGAATGATCCATCCCCTATTCGAGTGTTAGTGTGAAGCATTGCATTCAGACAGGCTAATGGAGAGGTTCCACTAGAAAATAAAAGTGTGCAAAAATGAAGCAATCTGATATGCAGCTTCTGTGGCAAAACTGTTCTCTGAATCTCAAAGCAAAAAAAAAAAACAAAACCTTCTTGCATGCCTTTTTAAAAACCCTGAAAACATCTACATTACAATAATGGGCCAGTCCAGTTTCACCAAAGTTAATCAGATGCATCTGTCTTACAGGCTTCAGGCAAAAAAGTCCCCTAAATTGAAATTATGTTTTTATTCATAAAGCAACCAACACTGTATTTAAAGAAACCAAAGCCCCAACTTTTATGTGGTGTTAGACTATGAAGCCTCAGTTTTAAAATATTAGAGACAACTTGATGGTTGCACTTGAATGATCAAAAAAAAAAAAAAAAAACAACTTCAAGGGCAGCTCCATCTCCTAGGTTGAAAAGCAACAAAAGAATAATAAACCAGGGAAGAACTGATTTGAAATTGTAAGCATTTAAGTTACTCACAGGAATGCATTTCTCACATGGCCAAATCACAATTTATATCTGTATCCATATCTCTGCTACAGCTTCTACAATGACATCCTTTTCTCAATTATGTCAAATACAAAAAATATGTTTGGGAATTCTGCCCAGCTAATAATTATGTTCTGCAGTAAAAATGCAAGTGGCTGAATTATGAAATCAGTTTTTTAAAAAGAAATCAAACAGTATTAAACTAATGATTTTAAAATATCAAAACACATATGTGCAAACATTACTGGGATTTATTTATCTAACTGCCAAGATATTTGCAAAATATAAAATATGTATGTATTTCCTGGGGTAGATTTTTAGATCATTTTTGTGTTTTGCTTGCAAATTAGTTTTTTCCAAGATAGTATTTAACCTATAATTATTGCTTTTATGTAATTGTTTCTATATACATTTAATTTCCTAATATGCTAAAAGACCAATATTTGTTCGAAACAATTTTGATTACAAGCACTACCTACACCCCATATGCCTCTTCAGAGTCATGGGTTCTTAACTCAAAATTTTCTTAGACAAGAAGGCTTTTAAAATATTGAACGTTAAAACTTTGAACTTCTGGAGTAAAAACATGTTTATGTTACTAACTTAAAACGTCTAAAAACCAAGATTATCAAATCTTTTACCTTAAAATTTCACCAGTGAAATGAAAAAGTCAAATTTGCTGAGCTGCCAGAGCACACTTAGCAGAAAGTCAGCATATATATACATCATGGTCATAAAGGTTTGTAAGTATTAGAGTAATATGAAGACTATACTCTCTATTATTTTAGGATGCAGCTTCTTTGTGCCAACACATAAACATGATTCCATTGGATCTGACAAGAAACAAGAGTCCTAATATAAATCTTGTCATAGAACAATGCAGTTGTAGCACTAAAGTACACATGGTAATAATGTTGTGTGCTTATGTAATATTTTTACTCATGAAGCTCCTAGGATTTTACAGACTTCATTTCATTATTCTCCCTTGCAAAAGATTTTTGCTCATATTTAAATTATCCCAGTCATACCTATAAAGTGAAATACATTTATCTCCCTACAAATGTCTCTTGGTGAATGAATTCCAGATAAATAATGCAATACATGCTATACTGAACACTGCACAATATACATTTTTACATTATACTCTTTGGAAAATTTGAAGCTGGGAATCATTGTGCCAGATTTTTAGAGTTTTAATTTAGTGAAACTGTCAGAAAAGCAGGCTTTCCGTAGGGACTTGGCAGGAAGATGTGAACATGACAAGTAAAATAGAATCCAATACATAAAAATGACACAATGTAGATTTTTAAAATGCAGTCTAATAAAATTGTCCATCTAACATGAAGCCTCACAGTATTCTTCCTGCTCTTGATTACTAAGCTCCAAATGCACACAATTCTAAGGACCTAGATTTAGAACATTATAGAGCAGTACAGATTTAGAGGCAACTTAGAAATATTGAATAAACATAACACCACTAAAATTTAATTTTCTTTCTAAGGTAAAGATAATTATAAAAGATAAATTGGCTATTAAATAGCAGTTGAATGCTATGCTTACTGCGAACATATGTGCTAAGTACCCAGTTTCATACAAATAATAAGCTCTGTTGAGTATGAATATATTATTCAATTATACTGCTTATTAACTTAGTAAACTAAGATTTATATGGAAAAATCTGAAAACATGTAATTCAAAATCACATGGCCATACCTCTTCAAAAGTCTAAATGACTATTATAATTTCTCCAAATCTTTGCAAAAACAAACCTAGGAAATTTGTTTTATTTCAAAAACCATAAACATTTACATTTTGAAAAATCAGACAATATTTCACAACTCAGTTCACTCACTGACTAGCCACTTGGTATTAAGCATATTGATTGCATAATTCTGCTCTATTTTATTTTAAAACAATTTCTAAAATCTTCAAAAGAGTTTAATACTAATTAAGAAGTAACTAATTCACTCAATGCAATAGATACAATAGGAAAACACATCGTAAAAGTCTTTCCTACCACCATTTTTACTGATTTCTATTTTTCTCATGAATTCCATAAAGCCTAGAAAACTTGTACTCCTTTTCTTGAAGAAATCTATGGTCTTAATTAACTGCTAATGAGTAGGAATAAATTAAAATCTTATTTATATAATTTTAGTATATTTATATTTGGAAAAAAATCAATTTACCAAACATATTCTATGCATATATATTTAAAACACAACGATTAACTATGGCTATGAAAGAAGATGAGGCAAATATGCTTCCAAAGTCTGTATTCTCAGAGATCATGAACACCTATGAAACACTGCTTATTTCTAGTTTAATCAAAAATTTTTTCTTGATAGTTAATGCAAAAGTTAATCACCTCAGTCAGAATTAAAACATTTAAAATTCTGTAATTGCATATTAAGTAATAAAACATCAAGGTTTTAAGAAAATAGCTCTGAAATTTCAGAAGTACTTACTTTCTAATAAGATGAATTGGAGGAACCATGATATCCCAATTTATAAAAGGAAAACAAGGAAAAGGAAGAAAAATAAAGTTAGTTTTCTACCACAAAACATAATTCTTCATTTTAACATTTCAATAAATAGGACAATGTACAAGAATTAGACCAAAGCCTTAGATTTGGTTGCCTGTGGGGAGGTTGGGAGGGGAAAAGAGCGTTGAGCTAAAAGGTGACTGTGGCTTTCTTCCCTAATACTTCTACAGTGTTTTCATTTTGTTCCTAATACACATATATTTTCATACTATCAATGCAATAAGAAATAGGTAAGCAAGATAATATTTGCCCCCAATTCTTTTCTTTCTTCTATCCCCTATCAGCTGGGCCTTTTCTATACACCTGCCACGGTAGATATACAGCTTATTCTACATGTTTGTTTTTCTCCCTGGACTGTAAGGCTGTGGAACCCTTCTGGCTTGTTTTTGTTTCCCACAACCCCTGAAGCAAAACAGGGGTGGAATTTGGAGGCAGGGGAGCAAGCATAATTTAAACTGTCTAGACATCAAAGGACCCCCAGAGACACTTTGCAGAGCCCTGATGTGTTGTGAAATACAGAAAAATCATCGCTTTATGTCATCAAATTGCTGATGGAACACATAAAATTTTATTAATATTGAATACTCAGTGAAGGAAATGGATAGCCTATCTAATTTTAAAAACTAGAAAGAGTACAGGAGAATGTGATTGAAAGATGTGCAGACATGACAAAGAAATATCATAACATGGGCCTCCATTCCTTTACGTACAAAATAATAATGCTTTCTCAAAACTCAACAAATTCAATATGCAATTATTACACAGCATTATTACACAGTGCTATTAATATAAACAATTATATACTCATTCTCCTCTCAGAAAGAATTAATATATTCTTTCAAGTATTCTTAATATTAGCTGTAATAAAATATCAATTATAAAGTATATATTTTCAACAGTACATTATGTGGTGCAGATTTGTGTTGTCTGTATAGGATCTTTGCGCTCACTTTATGAAAATGAAATTGTTTATGCTTAGAATTTGTACTATATATATGTATATAATACTTTACAAAAACATTAAAAGTCAGTAATTTACCCTTGGATTTATTTGGCTACTTATTTATATATTTAATAGTTATGTCCCTACTAGTGGAGATAAAACTATTTTTACCAGTATGAGACAGATTTCTAAATACACATAGTCACATAATGTAAATCAGCTGATTATTAAAAACTATCCTAGATAATTTAAACTGATGATTAAAACTATCCTAGGAAGCAAGATCAAATTAACTTCTTATTCATAAGAAGTATTACTGCTAATTAACAAAATCTCTAAAATGACTATAAAATAAACCTTTATCAAAAGTAGATATCAAACACATCTAAATATCTAAGATTACATATAATTACATATATTAGTGAATAATCTTAGCACAAAATATGAGTAAAACATAATCTGCAATAACTTAAAGTCTGATGTTAAAGAACAGTGCAAACTTCATGGTCCCTCCAAGATCACCAATGTGAGTTTTTAATGAACATTTACATATGAAGAAAAACAAAAATTAGAGTTTAATAATTTTTTAAAAATTGGAAAAATTTAAAATAAATTGGATCAACCCATCAGCTCAAGTAAGAGATAGGTCATATTTAAGAGGAAGATGTATTGCAGATTTCTGTTGGCATTATCTACATGATTTTCAATATTTAATATCATAAGGAAAAGTTGGAAGTCCTGTTTCTCTTGTCAGGAGAAGATATTTGGTTTTGGGTGTTTTGGTTTTGGTACCGAGGATTGAACTCAGAACCTTGCCCTTGCGAGGCAGGCACAGAACCACAGAGCTAAATCCCTAGCCCTGTCAGGAGAAGATATTGAGGCAAGAGATAATTATCAAATAAAATACACTGCACAATGTCTTCTTAAAATTGGAGGCATAATTACAGACTTCAAACCTCAGAGTGTCTCTGATTGACCTGAACAATCTAAAAATACATTATTCTTAGAATATCGACAGATTTAGAC